TCTTTTATACGGATGCCTAATTCAGAAGCCAGCGAAGTGAATCGAAATGCAAAACTGGATCTTTCTGGCAACGCTCATGCCGCTGTTTGAATCGAAATCGACAATGAGGTCTGATAGCACTACCGCCATACCTATAAATGCTTTTTCTTCTTTTCCATTGCATCGAATATGACAACTGATGCCCTACGAGCTTTCCACTTGGAGAGAGCACAAGTCGTTACTCAGGTGCTGAATCTTTAAAGTGCCATGTCAGTTCTAACAATACCTTCCCATCTTGTTGGAGGTCTTCCTGCAGCCGCTTGCAAAAAAGCTTTTCATTCAGCATTCCTTTCGAAAGATGACAATTTTCCATTCATTAATAATCACCTCACCATCTTAAATGCCCGTTTGCAGCTGGTTGGTCACTTTAAATAGATTTTTTTTCCTTAAAATAGTCGTAACCCGATCGTGAAGAATCATTCATTATATTGGTCATGAATTTTTTATTTCCGTTCCTTCCAGTTTTTCTTTTTTTGTTCAGCTTTGTTACGTGATGCCGTCTCCATGTCAGAGAGCAAGATGCTCAAGATGGAAGTTCTGCATAACCGCAAATTCCTGCTATTCCCACCATCTTTTTCCTCCCAGAGTTCGAAAATCTTGTTGCTCCCTATGATTATGAGCCCTCAGTGCCCCTTGTCTTCATTTATCGCCCGTTTATCGGCAGTCGAAGTACGGTCAAAATGCAGAAGTTCTGGGACCTTCTCTGAACTTCGGTGTCAGTGGTCTGATGGACCTCAGTATGAGTTCATCCAAATTCCATCCATTTTGTCTTCCTCACGTTAGACCTAGAGATGAACAACTTGTATGAGAGTTAGGAAGAATGACTGAGCACTTCAGAGTTTCCTGTTAGCAATACGACATCATCTGAAAATGCAACAGGATTCGCGCATATGTCGTCCACTCTTACCCCCGTGGCTTCCTTCGTCCGTGTTGATTGGAGCACCCACTCCGTGGAGATTCCATTCCTCCTTGCTGTGCTCTGAACATTGCATGAAAGAATTTGCAAAAGCTCCAGTCAATTCGCAGTTCTTCGATCGTTTTAACTATGTGAAATATTTTAGCCCTGATTCGATGTTGATCAGCAATTTTCTACATGGCAAGATTGCAAAGGTTTTGGAACATTCTTCCTATTTTCGTTTCACTTAGTTGATTCATGGCAAACACTTGGTTCAAACATCGTCTGCTCATAATCGAAGATCTTCTCATGCTGTTATCTTATCCTTCATCATGAACACTTTGGCATGAACAGAAACCAGGCATATTCCACAATAATCATTCGGATCCCTGTATAAGCCTCTCTTAAATACCGGAACCATTATATCTTTTGTCGTGGCGTTTCAGATCTCCTCTTTTGCACACTTATAAAGTGAGATTCAGTACTGACAGTGGTTTATCTATTCCAGACAACTTATTCAGCTGCGGCTGCATTCCATCAACTGCCTTTTTCAGTTGGCTTAAGACTTCATTCGCTGCTTGAAGGGCTAGAGGTTCAGCATCCTAGTCCATCTTTTGTCGAGGTATAGTGTAGTATGTTGTGGTATAATTTAGAGCAATGACTTTTATCCGTCATACAGTGACGCAGTCCATGAGTTCTATGCACTGCAAACGATTAACTTCATGGAACCTTATATAACGTAATTGTATAACCGGTCGGCTGAAACCTTTAGGGTCAAAAAAGGTTCGTTCTTTCTCGAGTTATATTGTGATTTTCATAGGCTATATCATCACTGAGACGTCCATTGCGCTTTATTCCTTATACCATGACCTGTACGATAGTTGTTCTGACAACGACTAACAATGAGATACGCCCAAACACAGCATTTTTTGGACATCTGCTGCCCCACTTATTAGACACCAGGCGTCAACTCATGTTTCTTAAAAATCCTTTTATTATGATGTGATATACTGAGTTAAACACAGAAAATGTGTAAATAACACTACATCAATAAATAGTTCCAACATCTAATAATTAATAAACAACCATACCTCAGCTACCCAGACAAACTTCATTATGATCGCTGCCCTTTCATTGGTCGTAGTCTTGCTAAGCACCATGCACTGTACCCACCGCGAAATGCTCTACGGTAGAAAAGCCTTCAGTGATAAAAGTTGAAACAAACTCGTAAGCAATAATACGTTGAAAACAGCGATGCTTCGCTGAAGCGCCGGCACCCTATGAAGCTGGTTGCGAATCGCATATTCACAGTAGTCGGCGAACTGAAAAGAAACTTCACTTGGCATAAGTCACAAGTGCTAATTTATATCTAAGTTATCACAATTATACTGTAGCTAGCTCTCATCATAATACTTTCTCTGACTTTAGGGATCGCAAGGCAATAAGCTGAGCCAGAGATCAAGTGTAGACTGTATTCATTCGTTTGCTGAAAACTGCAACAATGTTGTACTGAAACCGAAATACCATTGTCAAGATTTGCGAATAACACTCAAGAGTGCAAGTATTACAGTCCTAAGTGTCAAAATATTTCATTGGTCAGAAGGCCTGTTTACCAATTCCACTCCTCTTCTCAAGCTCTAGTGCACTCCATAATTAATTTTTCATATCTCAATGTCATCCAGGAAATATCATTTAATTCGTAAATTTCATCTAATGGCTACTGCTGCAGTTTTTTGTTCAGAAACTAGTTCGAACGAAACAGTTCCGGTGGCCGTTTATCTTTCCAAGTCGCTGAGGAAAATACACCAGACAGTGTCTCCAATGTTCCTCATCCTACGCTACTGTCTAGGCCTTAATATAAGTTAACCTGAGCCTGAAGCAGGGTCAGTTTAGACACTTGCCCCAAGTCATTCTTGACTTCTTCAGGGTGTTCCGTTGGTCATTTTGGCAAATTGTAGCCATTTACCTTGCCATCAGAAGGTATCCTCGCTCTGACTTCTCAATCTGACTCCATCCGGTTCTCTCGTATGTCTGTACTGAAGATCACTCCAAGAAGCTTCAGGCAAGCGATTTTTATCAGTAAGCCCATTTCAGCACCTTGTTCAGGGGCTAGAAAGTTTTCACGACTCATGACCGTAGGTAAGCATGGGGATTAAGATCGATCTGAACAGTGAGATCTTAGTCTTTAAACTCAGCTCTGCTTCAGTCAGAGTGATTCAGATTTGTTCGCGCAGAACGCAACTGGAAATTCCAATCCGCCAATCGATCTCTTCCTCAAATTTTCCATCACTAGTGAACACGACCACGAGGTACGTGAACTTTACAACCTCCTCCATTGCTTTTCCGTTTATAGGAAAACAGCCACGAACAGGAGAACGAGAAAGCATGATTAAATACGCTCACACTCATGCCGGTCACATCGCATTGCGAATTCAGAGAGCGCTCGAGATCAGTTTCAGAAGATGCAAAAAACGAGGTCGTCTGCAAACAGCAACTTTCTTCTACGCCGATACGTTCATCGCCCTGGTTCCGCATGACAATTCTGCCCGAGTACAAAACAAGCAGGAGAAGGGACAGAACACAATCTTGGTGAATGCCAGTGTCAACATTGAAATGTCTCATCTTCAGTCACGCAGCTCCTGTCCTCATCGTGTAGTGATTGGATGACTCATAGCAACTGGCATCAGTCCTGAATGTCTACAGACATGCCAATAGTCGTTGAGTTGGACCTGATCACAAGCTTCTGCAGTGAGGTCCGAGTAAATTCAGGCAAACAAATCTGACACTTTTATACGCTGGAGAACGGTAACAAGTGTACGAAGTGGACCCTAGCTGAAACAGATAAGCACTTTAAGGATTTCAGGATACCTATCACGAGCAGTAGCAAACTAGATGTACCAATAATCAAAAGCATTCCCAGGTAAACGCTGTAATTTCGAAGCTAAAGCGATTGATGGTGAGGAAGAAGGAACTGAACATCAGAACCAGCAGCTGGTTTACAGATGTATTTATCGAAGCTTGTACCTAGACATATGTTCAAGTATGCTTAACGTTCTCAAAGTCAGAGGGACCCAGGCTTCTAGCGGTGGAGTTGAGTTTCTTCGGAAATATTGCTGGCGGGATGAAACTGAACAGGGTAGGACTTACAGTGGTTTAGCATATTATGATTTAGTATGAGAGAGATCCAAAAGAAGGACCGAGTCGGGGAGCCAAGCCGAACGTTCTTGTAGATACATGGAAAATGAATGAACGACAGTCCGCTGACGACGTGCTTCGATCATGGAGAAACGCCAGCACTTCGTTTGAATTCAAGTCATTCAATCTGCCGGTTTGGCGATGGAACGGGATTTTTGGAAAGGTCTCCTAAAGTAGGTGGCGCTGCGACCTGTCAGGGACAGCGGGAGTTGCAAATGAATGAAGGCACCAATGAATGAATTAGTGAATAAACGAACTGAGTGAATAAAGGAACGAAAAATGGAAATTAATGAATGTGGTAATTTTTTTGTGAATTTCGAAATGACCAGCTGAAGAAGCTTTAATGATCGAAGTGCGTGGGCATTTTTATGCACTTATTGATAACTTCTCGAAAAGAAAACACCAATGATTAGAAATCAGCACTGAAGCACTGGGGTAATTGCTCACATTGATACCTAAAGAAGCCATTGCTAAATCCTAACGTTATGCCATCTCTGTTCTTTACAGAAGACGTCGACCTACGACCTAGATCAAAGGAAGCTCGAGACGACGCTGAAGAGACAGTGATCAGAGGCGGAGAAAAAGCAGCATGATCTGCGCTATTTTTATGGAAACGAAACAGGTAAATACGGTAGTATTGATTAGCAAACAATTTTTTCGCTTATGCGACAGCCATGTTACGCGGTCGATCGACCTGTTGTTTGGCATTCAACGGATGTCACAGTACAACAGTGCATATTTAGATGCTGTACCTTTTCCACCCCTCACTAACCCTCTTCAACTGTGCATTCTGTTTCCTGTGGCTGATTCTTATAACGTTTAATTTGTTATACCTTGCTCATCAGGGATGTCCAGCGGCATAGAGTCAAAGAGTTTCAGTCTCTTGTGATGCCCATCAGTAAGCCATAAGAGCAAAAGTGTTAGGAAGCAA